TATATATTTGGAAGTGATGTGGCTGAAAATTGGATTCCAAGTAAGAAGGAAATGAAGGGATGAGATGTATGGTTGAAGCGGTACCACGAGGTTGCCTGAAGATGAGAGAGGTAACAGTGGATGGGTGTGTAGGTTAAAGCAAGAGGAGGGCGCAATGACAATGAGCAAGTAGGGTGCACAGAGAAGAGAGAGATTAAAACGAGGTGTGCAAGAACAAGAGACAGAAAGAACGGGATGGGACCCTAACATCAATGCAAAATCTCCTTCAAGAGATATATGGTTCTCTCCTCAATGATGGAGTCATGCCACCAAAACTGGAAGAAGTAGCTCTTTATTCAGACTTTTGCATGGTTCTGGTCATAGGCCATTACATGTATTTATAATGGTAAGAGACACGTATTGTCACCATACTTAGACCGCAAGTCAGCCCAAGATTGATGTGCAACACAAAAGGAAACATGACCAACAAATAGAATCCTATCTAACATGGGAAACTAAGGTTATATTTCGAAAAGGGTAATTAACGCATTACCATCGTGCATTAGGCCCTAAGGATCATATGGCAGCCAATAGGATATGATTTTTTCCATGCCTTTTTTGCAATTGAACAGGCATTCAAAATCCAGCTCTTTACCCCCAATTTACAATTGATCAGTAAAGGGCCCAAACCCTTTTTTTCTATTTACAAAGCTTAATTGGATGCCATATCATCGCGTTACTGATGTTAACGGGTGGCTCTCCCATACCCAGACCAACTCAAAGGAGCCAACTACGAAAGAAAATTGGGAATGGGGTTGGGGCATCGGTGGTTGAGGAGGCGGATGCCTCAACATAACATCCCTCCTTCCATTCCCACTGTTAACATATCCCCAAAAAAAAAAAAAAAAAATTACAAAAGGAAAATCCAAATACATTATAGAAACTTAACTCAATTTGGAATCTAGAAAAAGAAAAGAAAAGAAACTCAAATATAGACGTCCTAAGCCTCATGGGATTCTTAGGGGAACCGATAGTATGATCCATAACTGAATCTAGGGCTAAAGACCCCAAATTCCTCTCAGTGGGTTCCACATGGTCCTCTCTTGCTGTTCCACGCTTTCTTAACGTTTTTGGACCAGCACCGTAATACTCCATGACCCAGGCTCACCTTTAGACCCGTGATGTTCACCAATTTACAACATAAATGGCAAGTATCAATTCCAGATGTGTGTTCCTAAGTAAAATATTTGCACTTTCATTTTTTAAAGATGCAATGACAAATTTGACCTTCTTAGCCAGTTTTTATATGCATTTTGGGATTTATACAAATGAAGCATCAGACATCCATATGGGGCTGCTCAGAGGTGGGTCCAATTTATCAACACCCACATGCCCACAGTAAGATGGCTATCAGGTAATCAGGTCACCGTATAAGCATTATGATATCATGTAGTTCAAACCCTCCCTTTTACTCTCTTTTTACAATGATTGGAGTACCGATTACTTCAGCCTCCCACGATATGTCAGCCATCCGAAAGTCAGTGTTCCCAATTATCTGAATCACCAAAGCGACTCATCCGGGTCTCTTCTAAACAAGAGGCAATATGTCTATAATTTGGGCTTATTCAGAATTCATATAATGATAAAGAAAACAGAGATCAACGTAATCAATGTCAGTGAATCACTCAAATAACTCAATCAAATGTAATAAAGCTCAACAGCTGGTTCAAGTAAACCCAGTAACATTATGACAGATATTTCTTTTCTTGTTACCAGACAACTAATCTTCCATAAACTTTTTTTTCCTAATACATAACTTAGCATCCATTGTCATACTTGAAATTAACCTACAACAGATGTTTCACAGTTTTAAAATACAGCTATTAAGATGCCCTTGGGAAAGGAATGTCATTGCACACATATGCATTCAACAATATTTTATATTTTGAGAACATCAATTACACATAGACCCCTAGGAAGATAAAAAATAAACCATAATTGGTACAAGCAAACAAAGTCCAAAAACAAAGAATGAGCAATTTCAGAAAAGATACTAACCATAATCACCGAATGCAAACCCCAAAAGGTTCTAGCCTCTAAAAAGGTGACATTAATATATTAATCTAATCCCTGTGATCATATCCCAATCCATTCCTCCCTAGTAATAATACTTACATTAATAATTACAAGCAGTCTCTTTTGGATCCCATTTTTCCTTGCTGAAAACTGACGTTAACTTATCATGACAACCCCAAAAAGGAGATATAGATTTGATTAGATTACAGATAGAATTCCATAATCATTCCATCCACCATACAGCAAGAAGACCAAAGAACAAAAACAATAAAAGAAATCAAGATTGCAGAATAAACATACAGGTCTTTCTTTTCTCATTTCCTAAAACTTAGGTCCAAACATCTTTCTATTTCCCCAAGCAAACCAACAAAGAGGCAAAACCAAGTCTTTTTCCAGGATTACAATAAGTGAACTTCACATAAAACAGTGACATCTCGACCTACATAGTAATAGCAGTAGTAATAACACCATTACCTCTCTCTTTCTCTCTCCCCCTCTTCATCCAAGGTTTTTTTAACAGTTCAAAGACACTCCATGCATCACTTCTTGAAGCTTCCACGGATACCCGGTTTTGGCTTTGAACACTCACTGACCTGGCCAGCATGAGCATGACGGTTCACGAGCTTGGATTCATCAAAAGGGATTTTGGGGTGCTTTGCATCATGGTGAATTTGCATGGATTTTATGTCAGGAGCTGTGGTCTTACAGAGAGGGCACTCATACTTGGCATGGCCGCCCTTCTCCTGGCCTGAACGATCGGCTTGACCGGCTTTTCCACCACCTCTGTTTGTTGTTGCAGCGTCAACTTTTGCTGCGATTTCCTTGGCAGTGTGCTTCTTAGGCTTTGCCTTTCCAGTCATGGCTGGTGGGATAACCTAGGGTTACAGATAGAAGATGCGTAAAGAAAAGTAGAGAGAAAAGGTTTGATTGGCAGGTCAATTCTGGAAAGAGAGATAGATGTATCAAATCGAATAATATGGATAGAGAGAGAGGGGGGCTTTGAAAATTGAAGATGAGGTAGAGAGAAGAAAGATGGGAATAAGTGGGAAATCATCCAAGGTTTTAGCTTTAGGGACAGGGGAGTTGGGAAGGGAGAGGAGAGGCATTTTTAATTATGAGAGATGGCAATTAAATAGAGGGACCGGGCCAAAGGGAAAAGGCGTTTAATACCCCGGGGGGAGAGAGAGAGACAATAGGGTGGGGTTTTAATGGGAAAGGCTTTTATGCTTCTCCTTATGTATACTTCCTCCGTCTGTGGGTCCATTTTATGCTTCTTCTGCTGTATATTTCACCCGTCTAGGCGTCCATTATATGCTTTTTTTTCTGTATGTTTCACCCGTCTAGGCGTCCAATTTAAGATTAAGTAAGTTCAAGATCCGACGTCTCAAAGTATTTTATTTGTAGTTTTTATTTTATAAATTATATGAATATGAAATTTAGTACATCGCATCATGTCTTTGGGGAGCAGCTAAAATATATATATAAAAATATTTTCAATAAAATAATATGACCAAAATACCACTAAAACTTTTAAAGATATTCTAGTTATTTTATTTTATCAAGAATATTTTTTTTATATGCTTTATAGGTATGAGAATAAGAGTGAAATGTACGCTCAAATTTGATGTCCAAGTGTTTGTTAGAAAAAAATTTAAAATAAAATAGTATAGATGTATGATATTGTAATTGGATCCATCTCAGTCGTTCGTTCATTCAGATCTGATGGCTAGATAAAAAGAAGTACATAATTTTCATACATTATGGGAAGTATAGCAAGCATGCCCGGTTTTAATAGCTTAGTGAGAGAGGGGGATGATATCGAAGGTTCTACTGTAGAGTCAATTTTTGGAAGTGTTGGTGCGCATGATGACCTCAAGTGGTTCTACCATCATGAACCCAGCATCATTTTTTTTTATGGAAGCGGTTATTATGAATTTCATTTACTAAAGAAGATTACAAGGAAGGATAAAAAAGGTGTAACCACTAACGTTGATTGGTGTACACCATCCTTTGCTAATAAATCAGCTTCAACATTAGTTTCTCTAAAACAATGACATATTTCAAAAGATCCACTTGTTAAAATTGTAAAAACTTTATAAAAAATACTGCTTAATTTTATCAAATACTTTTTTTAAGTGGCAAAAGAATGTAACTTGTAAAGTGTGAACCTACGACATAAAGTTTGTGACACCTACCAAAACTAGAAGTTTTATGAGGAGAGATGGGATGCTTTGGAGTGTCTTACTTAGGAAGCCATGGCTACCGTGGCAACTCAGGAAGGAACTGGAGCTACAGAGATAGGAACATGAAGAGAAAATGGAGGGCTCACAACAATAGTGGCTATGATAAGGGGGGTCGTATACCATACAAGGTTCAGGAATGACGAACCTAGTTTACTATCTGGAAAAATCAATCGCTGCCCAACTTAGAGAAGTCGCATGTGTATGCTGGAACCCCAGCAGGTCGTTCTTTTGTGGATGTGGATGTGGTAGTAGGTGCAACTAAGGTTCAATTGGCCTCGAGAGGATCTCAGAATGGAGATGTTCGAGTGGTGGAACTAGGGGATTCGTTGTGAACCATGGAAAGTTATGCTTAAGAAAGCATTTGTTGGCTCCTTCTCCTGTGGAAGATTTAAGCATGTTTCAAGATTGGGATTCTAAATCGTGGAGGTGCTAATTAACTTGCACGAGGATTTTGGGGAACAAAGCTTTTACGGTCTTTGACAATGAGGATGATGCCAAGATGGTATTCAAACAAATATTCTTAAGATTCCGTGGTGCTCTAATGACCCTAGAATGGCGTTCTTCTTGCATGAACCACTCTTTGATTTCTTTGCCAACAACTTGGATCAGGGTAGAGGGTATCCCCATCCATGCTTGGACTAAAGAGGTTTTCTTCTTAGTGGCGAAGTAGTGCAGGAGGTTGGTTGAAATGGATTGATTCACCTCAGCGGGCCCGTCTTTGAGGGCACTTCGCATCAAGGTGCAGATCCAACAGGGGAAGCAGGTTCCACAATTTATAATTTTAAAGGTGACTTCTTTAAGGTGTCTATTTCTATGAGCAGGTACCCCCAACCATGGTGCTCTCCAATAATGAAGCTTCTTCCTCTTTTGTTTAATATGATGAGATAAGAGAGAGCCCGGTCCTATACGAGGATGGCTACAAGGTCATCGTGGAAGGGCCATGGAGGTTGGTTACCCATAAAAGGAAAAAAACTAGTTTCAATACTAGGCAATCCTTTCGCAAAAAGGAAACTGTTTGTAAAGTGTGGTGACAAAAAGAGACTGGTTCATTGGCTAGTCATTGGGCGAAGAGTGGAAAAGGCAAAAGTTTTTCAAGTTCAAACTCAAAGTAATATGCTAGATCACAACTCTGATCTAGCAGCACTTGGACAACCAGAAGGTCACTGCATTAGAATTGCACCCGTCCATACCGAGAGGCGTGTCCAAAGGAAAGGTTGCCGTGATTACAGAGATATTCTCAAACCAATGCAAGTTATGGCCTCTGGAGAAGATGCATTTTTGCATGTTGGTCATCAGGTTTCCCAACACCATCAAATTTGAGGATACGATGGCTACATAATCTCAATGTAGCATCACTGTCCGTTTTGATTTTGATTCACAGTGGAAGATTGATGACAGAAAGGTGGTGATCGTCAAGAGTGCTAAGGAGGACCTAAAAGGTCATATCTTTCCATAGAAAGGCATGCATTTTTCTGATTGATCATTCCCAAGAATGGTAACTCCCCCACGTAATCACCCTAGGCCTTCTTCATATACAAAGAAACACAAGAAGGTGGTTTAGATCCTTTTCTGAGTTTTCTGGTCTGGTAATGCTCTTGCCTTAACCAAAACATGGCTATGTATACCCAAGGCCATGCCACACAAAGAGTAACCATCTTAGACTTCAAAAAACAACCCATTTAGTATCATCAGTCGGAGTCCATTACTGGTCTGCCAGCGAGGGCGGTGAAGAAGAATTTGTCCTAATGGAAGTTAGATATTAATTGAGGGCACATGTCCATAAGAATCCCGTTCATGAATACTTCAATTGAGAATCTCCCTCAGACTCTATTGATGGCCACTTGCCTGGGTACCCCTCCCATTCTGGTTACAGAGTCCTCTGACTCCTCTGAGAATGATCTCTTGCCTCATTCTCGAAATTGGTCAAACAAGCCTTACAACAGGATGGAAGTTTGGGGAAAGGCGATCGAGATGCTCAAGGGACTACACAAGCTCCATAGAAGTGATAGAGGATGCCATAGGCATCAGAGAGATCAACTAGCACCCAACGCCAAGGAGGAGGAGAGGCCGACAGAGCAAAATTCAGAGACTTGTTGCTAACCTCCCGTTCAACCCACCTGCTACAGGCCCATTGGGGTCGCTAGGGGTGGGATTGATTTCCATCTCCAAGATCTGCTCATGGAACTCAGGGGTTTAGGGGAGTCGAGGAAGAGAAGAGCTTTGAGATGGTTGGTGCGTGCACACAAATTGTATATTTTACTCTTGCAAGAAATAAAGATTGCTACCTCTAGTGTGTCGGACATGTGGTGCATCTTGGATGCGGTTGCACTGGATTTTTGCTTCTCTCCATCCAATGGAGCATCTGGTGGCCTTTTGATAGTTTGGGACCCTTTAGTCCTTAATGGAGCTATTTTGTCTATTTGTTTCTGCTTTCTTTTTTTTCTGGTTTGGGCCAACTTCGATATTTTGTGAAGAATATTTATGGCCCTAATATTGGTAGTGACAACCTTCTTTTCTTTATTGATATTTCAGTAGCATTATCTAATGTTAATGCGTTATGGTCCATTGATGGGGATTTTAATCAAACCAGAAGTCCAAGCGAGTCGAACTATGTGAAAAGATTTAATTTTCAGATGATTACGTTTGACAACTTTATCAACTCAAATGTCTGGTTGATGTGCAATATTGTGGGCACCAAATATACTTGGTCAAATAACTCAGGTGCAAACCCTCAATTGTCCAAATATGATCCATTTCTAGTATCACATAATTGTGATTCTATTTTCTTGAAGGTCTTGGTCAAAGCCCTTTCGCAATGGACTTTGTATCATGTCTTTATTATGTATATACTAAAGGGGACCAGTTTGGACTCTCGATGTGAACGACGTTTAAGATCATATTGACAAAGGTGTTGGGGTTTGATGCTTCGACAAACAATGAAATCTATTTTTGCATGTTCTAACTACATGTTTGGACAGTGTTGGCCTCATGCATTGGGTTGCTTTGGTAAACCGCGAGGTCTCTCCACCATTGGATGAGCTTGTCCACCGGCTTACCAGGCTCTTGAGTCATGATAAGGAGTTCGATGGCTTCAACGTCCCGTTCTACCTCATAAAAGCGCTTATAACATTATCGCTCCATTTTGGCCCAAGAGTGGATTGAGATGGGTGGTAGTTGGTGGTGTAGTGATCAATAGCTTAGCCATTGATGGTGTGTGTGGGTGTGTTTGAATGTGATGACTGACGACCTAAGTGTGGTGAGTGTATGGAGTGCAGTGATTAGCAGCTTATTTGTCGGTGGTGTGTATGTGTGTGAGGGGTGGCCTTTGGGCCACCCAAAATGAGTGCACTGACAGCTTGGCTGCCAATTAGGGAGATGGAAAGGGGATGGGCAGCCTTAGGGCCACCCTGAGGTCGACAGCTTGGCCACCAGTCATAGGAAGTAGGAGAGAGGGGTGGCCCTTGGGTTGCTATAGGGTGATGACAGATGGCCTGACCGCCGATTAAAGCATGAGAGAGGATGAAGTTGGAATTTGGGCCACCCTGATGGTGATGACCGGCAGCTAAGTCGTTGGTGACAGGGTGAGAGATATAAGGAATGGCCTTAGGGCCACCCCACCGGTCACTGATACTGAGAGCAGGGGGTGGCCTTTTGCCCACCCATGAATGATGTACCAGCCGCCAGGCTGCCGGTGATGCTAGCAGGGGGTGAGCGAGTGACCTTAGGGTCCCCTCTCGACTCGAGAAGGGCCGGAACCTTGGTTTCGGTGGTCATGCCACCACGCACAAGCAATATGGGAGTAACAATTTTGTTCGGAACCCAGTCCCTTTGGGTCAACCTTTCGAGTATGGGGATTACGAAGTCCCTAACCCGGATATAGGAGGAACATATGGACTCCCTAATCATAGTCTGCGCACAACTCAAGGAGCAAGC